TGCTGGGTAATTCTAACACCCATGACTGCATGGAGATTAGATCGGTGGCACGTCTCAACTGTGCCCAGAAGAAAACATCCAAAATAGCTTTTAATAATCTACATTTTCATTGTATGCCTTTCCCGGGCCAGAGTTCAGATTCTGTTCAACGTCTCCCTCAATCTCGAGAGACAGCCAGTCATATTAATTTCATTTTGGATCTATTTCTTTTTCCTCTCTGGGTACTTTTCCCCTGGCTCTGCTGTTCACAAGGACTGCTTAAGTAATTTCTCCAGCTGTGGAAAAGGTGAGCAAATTTTGCAGCTGGAGCTGGGGTCCTAGGATGAACCTGAATGTCAAAAAGATCAGATTTCTTCTGTCACCCAAACTCCTTTTGCTACGTACCTGATCTCACACAGATTTCACTCAATAAATATTCCTGAGAGTTGTGTCAAAAATAGGTTATCTTTCCCTGTTTATGGGAAAAGGGAAGGAAAGAAATATTCAAATTAAATGTGAAAGTATCTGCAGATGAGGTCCTTAAAAAGACATAATCAATATGATTCCTTTATTGATGATGTTTTATATCCTCACTGAATACTTATGTCTGCATCCTCTGAAAGCTTCTTAATAGCATAAGACATCCTGGGGCTCAATCAGCACCCACGATGGCCCATAACCACGCCATTAACATGAGGACAGCAGTGCCTACCCCACTGATGTGCTTCATTTTGGAGGGTCACCATCAGAAAATTGCTGATATTTGGGGTATTTCCCTGTTCTGAATCAACTCCAAAAGAAAAATATTAGTATCAATATTTTCACAGACCAATTCATACCTAAACCACGATAATTCTACATCTCCTCCCTTCTCCATCCAGGACCATGAGAGGAAATTATCAGCCAGTAGAAAAGCTAAAGTTCTCTGTGCATTAAGAATTTAGCCCTGCAGAGGCAACTTCTGGCAGTGTTTTAGCAAAGGAAGCCTTCAGGTACACGAGACCACTGTACAGTCAAGGCCCAAAGTGCACTGGGTTCCTTTCAAATGAATGAATATATTTGCTAAACTCTTCCCACAGATGTCCCCAGTAAAACAAATGTGACTAAACACAGTATTGATGTAGCCAGCCAATGCTAAATCTATTAAGCAACAACCTTCTGACCGCTTGGGAATTTTAATGAAATAGCAAAAGCCGAGATTGATATGACACAAAACATGGAGAAGACAGGACCCTTACGCAGCAAAGAGTGTTTTTTCATTGCTCTTGTCTCAAAGAAATATGGTTTAGTGTTTTTTTTTTTTACATTGATTTTAAGAAAACTTCACTCTGTATCCAGCTTCGATGCAGATTCAATGTCATATATTGATGACCTGACAGAAGAACGCTGGGTTAAACCTCTGTACATCAACACCCGTGACGTGTGGAAAGGGTAATGGCTACTCTCCAAGGGTAATTCATCTAAAGCATTTGGGACCTCCGATATTCCTGCTTGAGCTCATTGCTGATGCACAGTGTCACACCATTTGCCCTGAATAACATAAAGCTGTCTTGTAATAGACACACACGTATCCTTAACAAAGGACAACCTTCCCCAAGAAAAGATGAAAGCAAACCACGTACTTGAACCACCTGGACATGAATAGACGTTTCTGTTTCTCCCCAGTCTTGCAGTATATGTTGATTTGATTTTGTACGAAATGCCCAGTCATTAATCCCAAAACTCTTTGTCTCAAGCATTTCACTTTTAACAGCCTTCTGTGAGATCCAAAGCAGAATGGAAATTGGGGTTCTTGGCAGAAGATTGATAGTCAAAGACCATAACAATATGGAGCTGATGGTCTGAAAGAAAGCAGGTGGCCATACGAGGGCTTCCATGCAGTCTGAGGAGCAGCTGAAAAAAAACCCTGGGAGCACAAGGATCCTAGGGGATGCTTGAAAAAAACATTCCTGTTGATACTATTTCAGCGAGCAGTGCATGGCTGGGGGAGAATTTCATTTCAGAAACAAGGTGTCGTTTTTTCTGGAAGAGATGTGGGCGTTTTTCCCCACTCCAAAATTTCTGGTTCTCGACAGGGACAGAAGTCAGGACAGGCTATCCACTTCACAGCTGCCTCTATCGAATAAGTGCAGCATTTTCACTTTTCTCAAACCCTAAAGCTTTCTCCTGGAAAAGGCTGTGCACTTATGGTCAAGTGCTAAGTAACTGCAATCGTCAGGTGCCTGCTCTCTGAATCCAGGCCGTGTTTTAGATCATTAGGCTAGCGAAAGTCATACTGCTTGTTTTCACTGTATCGTTGGCTACCGACCTCGCTTGGCACTTGAAAATACTTCATAGACCTCTTCCTGTTTGCTGGAAAAAGGGTGCAGCTGAAGACTACTCTGAGCTGATTATTCAGCAGATAAAAACACATTCCATTCTGCAATACCACTCTTCACTCAAAGGTCTTTCTACACGAGGATATTTGATACACTCTGCTTTCAAATGCATTGAAGCGCACCGTATGCTCCCGTGTCTCTAATAACTTGCAGCCTTCTAGGACAGAGGTGTCTCTTGAAGCAAAACAAAAAAGACAGACCCTCACAAAGGGAAACATGGTCCCTTTTACTAAGATCTAGGGCACGAAGGAGCAGAGATGGAAAGGACTGCTTTGATGATCAGTTCAAGTCCCCCAAAACCTACAGAACTTCTAAACCTATCAAACTCCTTGCTTGAAGCAATGAAGTTTTTGCCCTACTTCTCCACTCTGCGGGATCTTCTTCAGTTTCTAGCACAAAAGCCTGCTCTGTTCAGTGGTGTAAATGTTCTTCTCTTTGGTTGCCCAGGCTCTCAGAAAGCAATCTCCCCCTCAGCCCAAAGGTGAGGCGAGCCAGGCTCTAGAGGTCACCTTTGGCAATAGAGCAATCCATTTTGCTGAGTATCTTGGTAGCACTAATCTGAGTCTTTTCCAGTTTAAACTCTGCTTCTGTGGCAGACCAGAGCTGTATTTGAGAACAGGTCTCCTGTACGTGCTTTAGAGGGGGACAGTAGTTTGACAAATAAAAAAGGCAGGAGGAAAAAAATAGTACAGTAGGTTGATTAATATCAAAAAGAGTAAGGTAAAATGCAAGCAAACAACTTCTCTCCCCCCCATCCCTCATATTCAGTGTACTGCAACCAAAATCAACATCTCCACAGAGCATTAAGAGCTGTATGGGAAACAAAGCCAAAAGTGCATTCATCCAATATTGCTTCATCACATCTATCGGAAGAACGTGATGTTTGCAGCTCTACTGCTCATCTGACACCTTAAAACTCTTCCCATGCTGCTCAGGGGTTTCTTGTTTCTTATTTGGTGCCTGCAGTAAGCCTAGATCAGAGTCAAGGATGAATGGGAAGCATAAGTAATTTCATTATCTCTGAATTTTTGTGCAGTAAGGTTATTTTTGTGTTAATGTTAATGCGATGATGAAGGCGTACGCATGTTTGCAAAACGCCACTGTAAGACTCCTGAACACACTTAACCCAAAATTTGTTGTCAGATTAATTAAACATTTCATATCCATCCAATATATACTTTATTCAAGGCACTTTTTCATTAAGAAAAGAATCTAGTCATCCATGAACAATTCCTGAAGTAAACTTACTTCATGTGTTGACAGCTCACAAGTCAAACCTGTGTGTTTTTAAGAGGAAATAAGTGGCAAATCCATTTCTATTTCTTAAAGGAAATTTAATACAAGGCAAATATTAGGCCAGATTACTCAGAGAAATTAAACCTACATGATTTGCAAGGCTTCCATGAGTCTTTAGCTATTGTTCTTTCAGCACATTTATCTAAATGGTTCAAAGGATGCACTCAAACTTACAGTCAAACTGACAACATACATCGAAATTCCCATTTTCAAGAAAGAGCTTAGAAAACTGCAATTCTCTGTCTGAGCAGACTAAGTTAATAGGTGCAAAATGTTTTTTAATCAGAAGCAGAGACGAATATATTTACACTAGATTTGACTGAAATAGGAGACAGAGAAGTTTGGACGGGAAGGAAGAAGATCAGTTGGCAAGGGAAAGTATAAACAATTTTTATTTTATTTTTTTTGTCTCAAACCTTGGACAAAAAACCTACGCTGAATAGTTTGGACGTTACCACACACATGCACTCCCCTCCTCTGCCTTGTTACATGCTTCCTAAGGGATACTTGACAAATGCCTATAAAATCAACAGAAAATCCAAATCTGACATCTTCTCACTGTGAGCCCACACAGCCTGCTGCCGATCAGACAGCCCATTTGGCAAGCGCTGGGTCTGCAGGAGAGCAGCTGCTCCAGCCACTCTCTTCCAGTAACATCAGAGATACGAGGACTTGGGGAAAAATTAACAAAGTGATCAAAAATGGAATAAAAGATGTTAAGAGGTTTTTTCCTCCCTGTAAACATCAAATCATCCTCCATGCCCAACTGACTCTAATATTGTTCTGAAACTGGAGATATTGACAACTCAAGCCACTAAAATAGACAAACAATCTAAAATATCCCCAGCCTGAGAACGACCTTGCAGTCCAAGTCATAGAGGGACGAGGACTGCAAAGCTCACCACAGTGTGTGAAGCACCAAGAGCTCAGTGTTTACTCTTCATAACTCTTATAGTGTTATACTTTTTATACTCTATAGCTTAGGCTCTTCTTATCCCCAAATGCCAAAGGTTTCCCTGTTCTGGACTCCAGCATAGCTTGGAAAGAGCTCAGGGTGGGTGAAAACACACACACTTGCATGAAGAGATTCAGAAGCCCCATTGCTTTTAAATCACATACACAAGAAATACACTTATTTAGACAAAATAATAACAAAACTGGAGCACACTGGCCTATTTCTTTACCACTATAAAGCATTCCTTAGGTTGGGATCATATCCTCTGAGCCAGTTCAAGAGTTTTCTGAGCAGTTCATTATTTATTTGGAAACATCAAATATTTGCAGTTCCCCTCTCTGATCTTGATTAGTCCCTTACCTAAACTACGCTGACTGTGGGGCTTACATGGCCCACTTTGATCAGATGGGATCTTCGCTTTCCCTCTAGAAAGCTCCCGTTTCTCCAGTCACTGCAAGGACAGAGCCCCACTACCTCTTATTGCAATACTTTCCTCCAACAGCCCACCTCTACAACACAAACTCTTGCCTTAACCACAAAAGATGCACACAAGCCTTTCTGCAGAGGTGAATACACTTTCCCAAGGATGTTTCAAAACAATACTGCAATTTTGTACTCTATAATTTCAATTGGGATTCACCATCTGCCTTTTCGAAAGCACTATTACCCACAGCATCACACTGGGCATTACTGAAAGCTTCTCACTGCTGCATGCATCACTTGGATCATGTTATAGATTGCAAGCATGAATTTCATACAGGTCTTGACAGTACTCACTATATAAAAACCTGTCACACCCTCTTCTCTGCATAGGGAATCTACTGCAAGCCATCAGTGCCTCAAAACTCAAGGAAACCCTCATGCTTACAGCTAAATGTGCTTGAGTGATAAGAGCACAAGAGTCCCATGATGTTTCAAGCCTCATCTATCAATTGATTTAATGAAAGCCACGCCCTAGAAAGTTCTTCTCAAACTTTACTGCAAAAGTTACCAGAATCTTCTGTGATACCGCACATACACAAGGAGCTGTTTACATCATCTTCATCTGGTTTACTCTATTAGCACAAGCCTCGATCAAAATTAAATCAGTCTTACGAAACACAAAGCTGCTTTCTGCCTATTTCCCTATTAAAGTCTTTTAATGATCCTTCTCTCTTCTCTCCTCTCTTAGCTCGGCCTTTTTTGGCTATTTCTAAAAAAGCTCCAACTCTCCTCAATCTCCAGAGCAACCAGTTCCCCCTGAGCTCGCTTTGTTTCCAGTTCTGATTTTACACTCCCATGGTAGCACTCACTTCTCAGGTATTAGTTTACAGAACAAAAGCCACCAGTCTTTAAAAGCACTACGGAGTAGAAAACACCCCCTTTAGGTGATTTTATTCAGCTGTGTCAGTAACAACAGCTATCTCTAGTCAACCCTACTGCGATGTACAATTACTTTCTTGGAGAAAAAAGAAGGAAGACAGAACAAAGACGTGCTTAAAATGTTACCTTCAGAAGATGATGTGGAAACACATGGAACAACTCAAATATGTTTTCAGACCTACATGGCACGTAGTACCGATGAAGTACAGATACTTCTGCAATTTTCTTTCCAATCAACCAAATTTGTACTAAAATGCGCTGGCAATGCTCGTTGCACTAAGGAGAACTATAAACATTGCCAACTACGGCGTCTATAGATCACAAAACCTGTTTATCTCTAAATCTGTGCTGCTTTGTGCCATGGGGAAAAGAAATACAATTCGTTCCCAGCAAACCACCAATATTTGAATGACGCACATGGCAAAGGTAACTTACAGACAGCAAAGGGATGGCAACTTTTCCAAGAAAATCAGGGGGTTTATCTCCATCTTCATCAAACACTGTCACTTCCAGGACATCATGAATATCTTTAATAGGGCTGGAACAGAAAGTGCACACACATGAAAAATAATATTCGATACACATGCACACAGTGCCCTTTGCCAAGACCTGAGAATACTGCTTTACTAATTAAGTTTGCATACCTTAGAGTATAAAACCAGAATTTTAATTAAATTCCCCCCAAAATGAATCAAATTGTGGGTATTCCCAAGCTTTCCCCTCATGTTTCAGTCCCATAACTAGGTGAAGAAAATAACTACAAGCAGTGACAGTTTTTGTGCATTGAGATTGATGTAAAACTCAGCCCTTCAACAGAGAAAGCTGGTGACTGGGAGAGGTCAAGGGCTGAATTCCAAAGCAGGGTTTAGGATATTAAAGGAATAATCCAGCAAATAAAACTTAAGTAACTTCTTCTGACTTGAATAATTATTGAACTTTCATACTCCTCTCCAAACCATTATATATTTCCATCTGATGCAGCTACTGGTGGTATAAAATATTAAAATCTCAGAGTGACACACACTGATAAGCATATTGCAGAAAATCTGAATATGATAGGAAGGGCTCTCTAGTGGTATTGAATGCTCCAGCTGAAATGGATTCATCCAATTCACTCAAAGCAATCCACTCTGCTCCAAAATAAATCTAAATCACCGACGGCTTTTAAGGTGCTTAACCAATTATTTTTTATTAAATGGCCAAAACTTTAAGGAGAGATACAAGAGCCTGAATGGCTCTGCAAATTCGGTGCTCAGATTCACCATGTAACAGCAATAAGAAAGTGAGAGATGGCTGTAGCTGACACTTCTGAGACCCACAGGAAGTACAGACACAAACTTTCCTTTAAAAAAAAGATGAATTTGGATTCTTATTAGATTTATTTTGTTGGCTGAACATCCAACAGGACTCATCTGTCGGCACAATCTCGGAATAAACAGTGATGAGGGGAAGCTTCTTGAGAACAAAGTAAGAGAAAGGACTCCAAGAGACACACATTCAGCTGCACCCATGAATTAAACAGAAATCCAAGGTACTTCTATCAAGAGATCAGATACTTTTTATTGTGTTCATGTCCACCCCAGTATTTCTGAATATTGTGTTTGTGAGAAGTCCATCATTCTCAAACCGTTCTTCCAGTGGGCAGGTGCAAGTGTCACAAATGCTTTGCTGCCAGCCCTCAGTGGTTGCTCTCCTTGCCACAGACTACTAAAACTTGGAGACATTTATTATGCGCAAAAATCTTTGTCAGCATAAGGAAAGCTTTAAAAATCGTGCTGCCTAAAAGCGATACCTAAACTATCACTTTTCTTATTAATAAAGTCACTAAAAAAACCCCCTCAGATTTTCATAAAAATCTAAGCTTCTAATTTGGGGCAAGCTATGTTTGTCTAGTTTAAATTCAGAATCTATACCAGGGACAACATGAGCTTGAATTTTCTGCTTACTGACAAAATTAAATGAGGATTCTACCATGTTTCAATGAAACATATTTTAGTTTAAATTACGGAAAACGTAGGCGTGAGGATCTGGTCTCTGCTTTCTGTTACATTATCTCTTGGATCCAGCTATGACTCCATTATGTCTACTCAGGATTCTTCCTATAAATATCACAGTAATTTTTCTTTTAATGACTTCTATTAATAAACTCCATGTAAGAACTAGTAAAAGGCAAAAGACTTTAATTGAGTTACATCTGATATTTCTCCAACATCCTCTCTGACTGTGGAAAAATGATGTATCTTAAACTTGACCTTTGTATTTTCCCAAAGTCGATAGCTTTTATAGTTAAGCTGCTAACCATTTGGTGTTTCAGCATGTTTTCAAAAGCAATCCACTTACAATGTGAAGACTTTGTTCCACTCTGGATTGAGGTTCTTGTAAACAGTGTGCGTTTGAAGACTGTCGTTTCCCAGTTCTAACACACAGAAAGGATCACTTTTACCTAGGG